TGAGCAGGAACAGCTCAGAGCTACCAAAGCCCACGAGGCAGAAGAAGCTCCTGATGCTTTCCATGTTTTGGGTTCTGGTGCAGCAGCCCATGACAGAATTTGGCTCAGTGTTCAGGCTGTGAGGGAAGTGATTACCAGCAACATGACCAGCACTCAACAGACAGGCTCCACAGAGAAGTACAAGAGGTGTGTTTGTAAACAAAACTGACTTTCAATCCAACTGATCACTTGACTCAATGGCAAAACATCACCCATGAGAACCCTTTCTAAAAGCTGATTTTTTTAGCAGCTATTTACCCAGCTTAGGAGTTGATTCAGCACTTACAGATGCATATCCACAGTCCACCTTGCTGATTTTCTCTATGGACTCCACAGCATCTCTTCCCAGCTCTAGGAGTGTGGGGTCTCTGGTAGCACGGTACAGGTACATGGCACTCTCAATCAGCTCTGGAAAAAACCCAAATATTTCCAAGCATGAATACTACCAAACCACATACATGGGGAAAGGTGAGATGTTCCCTGAACTCATTTTAAAATCCTACTTTTGGACCTGGAAGGGGTTTCCCAGGGAGGTGGTTGAGGCCCCATCCCTGGGGGTCTTTAAGGCCAGGCTGGAGGAGGCTCTGGGCAGCCTGATCTAGTGGGAGGTGTCCCTGCTCATGGCAGAGGGGTTGGAACTGGGGGATCCTTGTGGTCCCTTCCAGCCCTGACAGATTCTGATCTGTTTTAGCAGAGGACGTTAGAGCCCTAACAGCTCAATGGTTGGACTTGATGATCTTAAAGGTCTCTTCCAACCTAAAGGGTTCTATGCTTCTATGTTCAAGTAAACAGCCTGACTTGCCTTGTACTTCCTCTGGCTCAAAGAACAGAAACTTGCTTCTACTAAGGAAACACAAAGAAAATGTATTTTTTTAATTTGCTACAAAGAAAATTCCCTGCAAGCAGTCTGCATCAGCTCAGGTAAGAGTGAGCAATGTCCCACTCACATTCAGGGAATGGGACAAAAAAAGACAAAGCAAAATGAGAAAATGGGACAAAGCAAAAGAGAAAAAGATTAAAACTCAGCTGTCAAAGGAATTAAAAAAGAAGATGCTCCTAGAAAGGATTAAAACCAATAAATTCAACCCCCAAGACAGATTTGAAACAATACCATAAGCCTCTGAAACACGAGTAACTAAAACACCACAAAAAACAAGCCCTGTGGAAATACTCTATCCAGGCAACATAGGCATAGTGCTGTGTTTAACTGCTAAAGAAACAGGTCTTTTGGGATGCTCTAATACATTTGGATGTTAAGGCTGAGGAGTATTTTTGGTAGAAGTCTCCAAAATGGATGTCACCTGAACACTCAGACCAAAAGGAAATTCGTTATTCTCGTTTATCAAGTTTTACTAATAATGAGGTGTGACTTTGGTGGGTTGTTTTGGTCAGGGTTGGAAAACATCAGGGAAAAAAAAGACAGATAATTTCATTGCTCTCTCACAGACAATATATAATCCCTCACATACATTGAGCTTTACTAGTGCAACCAGAATTTATGTCAGGAACTCTGCAGAACCAGAGTAGTTTACTCACACTCACTTCCACTTCCCAAATTTAAGGGGCACAAGCAGCCACATTAACACTCTGTGTGACCTTAAAACATCCCATGTCAGACAAAGTAACACTTAAACATGTCAAATCCTACACTGTGAACCCAACTAATGAACAGGGCCCTGGGAAACACACACAGAAACTAAGTCACAGCAAAAGTGGGGAGGAACTTTTGAACAAGGGCAGAACTCCACACTCCTTTTTATTTCACTCCTGCTTACCAGGCCTGAGTGGATATCCCTCCCTCTTGTCCACTGTATAGCCCTGGGGGATGTTGTAGAACTCTGGCAGGCCACCAAACTGCTTCCAGACAGTGTAATAGTTGAGGAAGGTTCTCATGGCATTATCCACATCCCCAATTAGGCTCTGAGAGAGAGGAAACAATTAGCAAAGGAACACAGAACACCTCTCCTGTCAGGCCAGGCTGAGAGAGTTTGTTGTTCAACCTAGAGAAGGCTCCAGGGAGACCTTCTTGAGGCCTTCCAGAACTTCAAGGGGCTTGTTAGAAAGCTGGGGATGGACTTCTGAGCAGGGCCTGTTGGGAGAGGACAAGGGGGGATGGTTTGAAACTAAAAGAGGGAGATTTAGACTAGAGAGAAGGAAGGAACTTTTTACACTGTGGGTGGTGAGCCCCTGGCCCAGGCTGCCCAGAGAGGTGGTTGCTGCCCCATCCCTGGCACCATCCCAGGGGAGGTTGGATGGAGCTCTGAGCACCCTGCTCTAGCTGCAGATGTCCCTGTCCCGGCAGGGGGTTGGACTAGGTGGCCTTCAATAACCTTTTCCAACCCAATCCATTCCATGATTCTATGATCTGACTGAAGAAAAACCAGCACAGGAAGGGATACAATAACACTCCTACAGTCAAAGCAAAAGGTAGTGACAGAAATGTGTTATTCAGCAGGTCTGAATAGTCCAAGTGATATTTAGGCATGATGCCTTAAGAATAGGCAGGACTAAGGAGATCAGTGCTGCTTTTCTGTTGGATCATATTCTGCACACCTACATTTAATATGAAGTCTCTTTCCTTTTTAGTTAAGGAAAGAGACTTTAGTTAAGGGAAGGCTGTGTTTCTTCAGTCACCATCTCTTTTAGTCAATCACAGTATCCAACCCATTTCAGTGAAATAAAATCCCAGACCAAGCACAAGGAGTGGTGAGAAAGCAAACCTCTCACTGGGCAAGTATCCACACAAACAGAGCATGCAGGAGGTGGTGGAAAAAGAGACAGGATTTTTTTTGTCCTTATGTTCCCATCTGGATGATGAGACCACTGTCAGTGGAGTTTCCTACAACAAAACTGACCCCCCACCATGTTTCATGGAAGAGTTCTTTTATAGACTACAGATAAAAGTCAACATCTGCTCTTCTACAGGCTCAGATCACTGCAGGTTTCACCAGAGATCAAACCTAACTTTGAAACCAGCACAGATGAGGCTGATATTTCTAACTGTTATATTAAAGATCAATCCCAGGACACCACATGCTACAGATATGACAGTTCTTACCTGTAGGCCTGGCCAGTAGGCCTCCAGGGACTGGAAAATAGGCATGGACACTGTTCCTTTGTACATCTGAACCCACAGGTACCAGTCATCAAACTTTGTGTAATTTTTGATGGCTTTGTTGTATTCTAGAAAGAAACAGAGATAATCCAAGAACAAAACACCTTTTTTCAAGAATCAGAGTAGCCCCTTTTTCACCTGAGCCATGTCAACTGAATGACTTCTCAGGATGCTGGTTTTACTAACTACTTGTTATCACAGATCATTCAGAAGTATTACAACAAACACTTCAGTAACTGTCTTGAACACACTCTATCAGATTTTTTCATCATCTTCTTCCACAGTCCTGCAGGTGGAGTTTTTACAGGTGCAGTCAAGGAGACATCCCTGGGACCCCTCAGAGAGAAAACAAACAGCTCACCTAGAAACATGGACATCAGCTCCTCATCCTGCAGGAGGATGGCTCCTTTAACAAGGTACTCAAAGTAGGAGTCCACTCCTGCCCCAATGCCAGCATCTTGGGCCACCCACTTGGCTGTGAGCACATCTATGTGGTTACCAACCTGGAAGAGGTGAGGGGAAGATGTAGTGAAGGGGGAAATAAAGCTCATCTCCTAAATTAGCATTTAAAACATCCCCACAACACAATCACACAGGAAAATCTTGACCTTTTTTCAGACTGTCCATTGCACAGGTTCACAATGTCCAACACCAATCAGCACTTTCTCTGTTACAAGACACACTGTGTCAGACAAGTACATACTGTAGAAAATACAACTTCTGAATTTTATGCTTCCCCTGGCCAAAACACCACTATGCTACTGCAAAACTGCATCATTTCAACAGCCTATGTCTGGTCCTAATTCACATCCTACCAAAGAGCAGAGGAGGAGAAGGTGCAGAGAGAGATGGAGGCCAAGGATGTCAAAGGTATTGGAGCTGCCATACTAATATTTAAATAGATCCTTCACATCCTTTTCAGCCTAGACAGGCCCAGCTGATGGAGAATGTGATCTTTGCTAAGCAAGTCATGACTGTGTGTTAAAAAGTTCAGCTATTCAGCTTCTTTCTTGAACAATGACTAGAGGTATAAACCAAATTAAAAGTAAACAGATCCCAAAAGAAACACTTCTTCATACAGCATATGAATAATTCTGTTCCACTTCATATATGCCACACTAGGAGCTCATGTGGGTTCTAATAGCAGCTATAGAAATTAGCTGAAGAAATACTGAGCAGGAGACAGCAAACACAGAGCTAACATTTGGAGCTCTGGCTACTCCTCAAACACCACAGCTGAGGAGCCTGGTAGTATCTCAGTACACTTGCCATGCTCTAGCTCTGTGCTGTGCTGTCCCCCCAGGCACTGGACAGGCCTTTTGTTTCTTTGTCCCAGCTGCTGTTGCAGACTGCAATGCCAGCAGAAGGCATTGTCTCCCCCCCACACCCACTCCAGAAGAGAACAATGCACACTCTTGGGCTGTACCACTGAGGCAGAGACGTGGATGCTGCAGGTGTTGAGGAACAATGTCAACCACGCAGCCTCAGCCCAGTTATTTGTGCTGTGGAGATTTCTCTAGTTTTATCTCCTCTCTGTTTATGTTTTTTAAGCTCAGAATTGCATCCCCAAGCCCACACAAAAAGCAGCACAGCAAATTCCAAGCCCATCCCTCGCTCACCAGCCCAATATCCGAGCGGTTTTTCCACAGGGCCTTCAAAGCCTTCCTGGCAACATCCTCGAACACTGGGTCACCTGTAAGGTGGCTCAAAGTGGCAAATTCCACTATAAATGTACCAATTCCAGCAGTACAAGTAACTGGGGTCTCCCCAGGGTTTACTCCATGTAGCAAGTTCACTGTTCCATACGGCATCCCCGTCGGGGTCTGAAAAGCTGAAAACCAGCAGTTTTGGGTCATGGGAGTGTTCCCTGTTAGATCTGACAGGCTGCTGAGCAAACCCATGCCTCACACCCCACTGCACACAGCCAAGAAGCAAGACTGGAGCCACTGCAGCACCTGCAAAGACTACAAGGAGAAGTGGAGTGTGGCCCTGGGAGGGCAGCAAGGGCACCCCGAGCCACGCACAGTCTGGGGAGATGCTTCAGATTCTTCCACCTTGCCCAGAGCACCACACTGCACCCCTGCTTTGTTTGGGTTTTTTTTTTAAAGCACAAGCAGGGTAGTCAAAATGGAACTGCCCACGCTGTCCAGCAAAGCACAGACACCAAGTTGTGAGGACTCTGCTAGCCCTGGGTGCACACAACACAAGGAAACATGCTCAGGGGCACACACCCCAGCAGCAGCCCACAAAGGGGCAGATCAGGCTGCACTCCTGACCCTTCCAAGCTGTTGTGTCACAGCCTTGACTTATTATTTATATTCATTTCCCCTCAACAAGCAACAAAGCAGTGTGTTAAGTGCCTACAACACCTGGGGAAGGCAGGGCTGGTCTGTGAGCAGACGTGCCAGGCGGTGCCATCCTCACCAAACACCCCAGGCATGCAACCAGACAAGTTCTCACCTGGCAGGAGCTTGCGAGCTGCCTCCTCTGCCATCCTCAGGAGAGGTCCAGAGCATGGCCAGCCTGCTTCTACTGCAACACCAGCCTTCTTTGACAGCAAGTGAGCAGAGAGGAGGCCACCCACCACTGGAAGGGGCAGAGCAAGAAGCACATTAAAGAATGTAGGGAGGAAGGAGATCTGATACCAGTTTTATTTATCATGATGCAGGGGCAGTGCTTATGAAGAAGGAAAGTGAGCTGGCTCATCCTTAACAGCCTGATTCAATATGCCACCAGTGGCTTGCTTCTTCCTGCCTGTTTGGAATGGGAGGCAGAAAGATTTCTTCCATTATTTTAGAAGCACCAGGTCTTCCCTTCCCTACTTCACCACCCTGTAGACAATCAGAGACCTAACAGGTAATGAGCACGAACCTCTGTGAGAAGAATTCTGTTTCATTTCTTGCACACAGCCTAATACTTGGTGTAAAGTATTAGGGACATGCTAAAATGCTGCATACATACTTAAATTCCTTGGAGAAAAATGTCTAGGCCAGAGTCAAGAATTTCAGCACAACTGAGAGGCAGGGAATTACAAGCCCTTTTTAGAGCCTTGTCATGTAACAAGCACAGAGAAATTGCACTCAATTAGCTCAGCAATATTTGGCAGGAGAAACAAAAAAAGCATAACTAACAGTTTTGTTTCCCAACAGTGGCTTGTGGCAGGATGACACTGAGGCAACTCAGCATTTCAATAGGTACAAGACTCCAAAGGCCTTTCCAGCTGTCAACAAAAAAAGGCGTTGCACTTTGTGATGCTAAAAAAACTTAATAGGCTCCATTCCAAAACAGTACATTAAAAAAAAAAAATAAAATGACATAATTTGTACTGTTTCACTGGAAAAGATCTTTATACCAAAGCTCAAAACCTGGTGCCAGAACGTTGAAACTGCCACGTCTACTTCTGCTTGTGTCTGAGGCAGGAAGCAAAAAGGTGACGTGCCATGGCAAAAAGGAAGGGCCACTCCTTTGGGGTTTTTCTGTGTTTTTACATGCCCCATTACACTGCATGACAAATCCTCTCTGAATACCTAGAGGAATATGCTACCTCTTGTTACCTCTGTGTACAGATCAGAGACTTGCATTGGAAGTAAACCCAGCACAAGCACCTCCCCTCTCACCTCGAATGTTAGTTTCAAAGACAGATGCATTGACATCGATGTCAAAATCCACCCCTTCCTGCAGCACATTGACGACGCGCTGAAACTCAGACACATTTCCCAGGATCTGCAGGGGGAGTGGGACAACAGAGAATGAGAGTTCACAGGCAAACGAAGGGGCAATGCAACACCGGGGGCTCATTCTAGTTTTGTTTTACTGTTTTGTGGAACCGTTAGTGACAAATTACTGATAAAGCGAGAGGTCAATCTCATCTGAAAACATCTTCACACACGTTAGGTCTTTAGGGCAGAGGTAAGAGGTGGCAGGGGCGGGGAGCTCTGGCCGCTTGCCTCACAGGGCTGGAGCAAAGCGAAACGCAAAAGCTCCTCGGTCTTTATAAACAACTGACTTCGAATAACCGACTTTCCGTCCCCACGGTGCAAACCCCCGGGGTGAAGGAGGCGGCTGCCGGCGGCTCGTACTCACTAGCAGCGTGTCCAGGGCGTCGATCAGCGTGAGGGAGAAGCTGTGCGAGAAGCGAGGTGAGGCCGGGCCGGGGCGGCGGCTCCCGGCAGGG